GGGGGGGTTGGCCTGTGGCCTTCTGGTACCCTTCCCTGGGCTCTGTCCCTGCACCCAGATGTGTCCTGTGCTGACCCTCCCGCCCACCCCAGGCGCTCATCCTACTTCTGGCTGTGCAATGCCCTGGATGTCTACTGCCCCGTGCAGTGGGAGTATGGCCGCCTCAACATCCACTACGCCGTTGTCTCCAAGAGGAAGATCCTGCAGCTTGTGGCAGCTGGTGCCGTGCGGTAGGGCTGGCCGTCTGACTCAGCCAAGGCTGGGGGGTACTGGAGGTTCTGGGAAGCCTTCTCACCTCGTCCTCGCCCTCAGGGACTGGGATGACCCCCGGCTCTTCACTCTGACGGCCCTGCGACGGCGAGGTTTCCCACCCGAGGCCATCAACAACTTCTGTGCCCGGGTACAGCCCAGTGGGCGAGAGTGGCACATAGGCATTAAGGGTGGGATCCCACAGGTGCGAAGGTAGTAAATATGGACCTTTCCTGTCAGGTGGGGGTGACAGTGGCACAGACAACAATGGAGCCACATTTGCTGGAAGCCTGCGTGCGCGATGTGCTAAATGACACGGCCCCAAGGGCGATGGCCGTGCTAGAGCCACTGAGGGTCACCGTCACCAATTTCCCTGCTGCCGAGGTGGGCCTGCCGTGTGTGTGTGTGTGTGTGTGTGTGTGTGTGTGTGTGTGTGTGTGAAGGTCTGGGCTCCCACTGACTCAGACACCCATCTTTCGTCACAGCCCTTGGACATCCAGGTGCCTAACTTCCCAGCTGATGAGAGCAAGGGCTTCCACCAGGTTCCCTTTGCATCTGTCATCTTCATGGAGCGGACAGATTTCAAGGAGGTGAATGGTCACCATGGAGCCCAGACCCACACTCCTTTCATGTCATACCACCAGTCCTGTTACTTCTGGCTTTCGAGGAACCCGCTCCTGTCAGGCACAGGGGTGGGGAGAGAGCCTGTTCCACTCTGGAAGCTCTTATGTCTATCCCACTTCCTCCCTGCAGGAGCCAGAGCCAGGCTATAAGCGCTTGGCATGGGGTCAGCCTGTGGGCCTGAGGCACACAGGCTATGTCATTGAGCTGCAGCATGTTGTCAAGGTAAGAACCCTACACAGCCTCCTTCCCCCGAGTGCCTGCTGTGGCTGGGGTCTGGGGGAGCCTGTAGTCCTGATGGCAGCCCCAGGCCTCACTGCAGCCATCTGTCTGCCCCATTTCCCCTGCGTTCAGGACCCCAGTGGCTGTGTCAAGAGCCTGGAGGTAACCTGCAGACGGACAGATGCTGGAGAAAAGCCCAAGGCCTTCATTCACTGGGCATCCCAGCCACTGACGTGCGAGATTCGCCTCTATGAACGATTGTGAGTAGCCACAGCTGGGGATAAGCTGCTACGAGATGGGCATTGCCTGCTGGGGCCTGACCTTAATTCTGGCTGCAGATTCCAGCATAAGAACCCTGAGGACCCTGCTGAGGTACCTGGTGGATTCTTGAGTGACCTGAACCAGGTAGGATCCTGGTGGGTGGGGGGTGGGGGTGGGGGTGGGATGGAGTGAAGGTGGTGGGCGTCCCTGACTACATGACTCCCTGATTTCCTTGCCCACAGGCATCTCTACAAGTGGTTGAGGCAGCATTAGTGGACTGTTCTGTGGCTCTGGCCAAGCCCTTTGACAAGTTCCAATTTGAGCGGCTTGGGTACTTCTCTGTGGATCCAGATAGTCACCAAGGACAGGTTCTTGACTTACTCTGCCTACCTTCCCCTTTTTGCAACAGTGAAAGTGGAGGCCACACTGTGCCAAACACTCTGCCCACATGTCCCCAGTCCATCCTCACCACCTGAGGGGGCACTCAACTGATGAGAAACCAGCTCACACTGCACGGCCCTGCCTTCCTTATGCCTCAGGGAGGTGGCGGGCCCAGACATGAGTGTGCTTCCAATGAAATTGAGCCTCGGGGTCATCCAGCTTCTTACCAAATGCACGAAGCCCAGTTCTCGTGACCCTTTGTCCCTTGGCTTATCTACTTGGGGTGCAGGGTATGCCTGCGGTGCGGTCCCACCCCTCACCCCCTAAACTTCTGTCCCGATTCTGAGTTGGTTATTCTTCCCTCCCAGCTTGTCTTCAACCGGACAGTCACACTGAAGGAGGATCCAGGGAAAGTGTGAGCCGAGGCCCAGAGGACCAGGAACCATCTCCTATGACCTGGGAACTGGAAGCACCCCAGTGTCCATTTCAATAAAGAGCATCTAGATGCCCCCAGAATCTGTGTGTTATTTGTCTGCCCTGCCAGTCTCTGAGGGCCCGCAGACATGCTTGGGGAGCTTGGGGTGGGTCCACTGTGCATACCTTTCATGTCTGAGAAAGGGCTTGCCCAGGTAACTTTGCAACTACTGGCAGGGTCTTGGGCCTGATTCTGTATTCCCTGCACCTGATCCAAGTGCATGCTGGGCTCAGTGGCATTGCTCTATGGTTAGGAGGAGTCTGGTGGTCCTGGTTTGCGTCTGCCTGTGGACTGATGAGGAGAGACCTGGCACCCAGTCACCCAGCAAATAATAACTGGGTGTCTATCACATGTGGCAGAAAGGCTGTGGTGCCTTTCCAGCTTCATCACTTAGCAGCGAAGGCGAAGAGGTGACCTGAGACGGGAGGCCAGTGGAGGTTCCTGCAACAGTCTGGTCCTCAGAAAAGGCTTTGGTCAGGAAATGACTTCTGTGGGGAACCCTGATGGGCCTGGGGAAATTAGCAAAGCAAGTGCAAAAGGGCCTGCCCTCTGGGAAGGCTTAGAGCTGACAGGCTGCACTCCTGCTGCCTAGTGGGTAGCAGTGAGGTTGTCTGTGCCTGCAGCTTTAACACCCTCCACATTGTCCCTGTATACAAACAGCTGGCCACAGAGGGCCACTTTAAGGTGGATCGGAAGGTGGCAGGCAGAACTTGCTCCATTGCTGATGACAAGGATCCCAGCCACTAGTACTTATTTGAGACAAGGGATCCGGGGCCAACCGGGTGGGCCAAGGCCAAAGTGTGGGGGCAAGGGCCCAAGTTAGGAGTGTGTGAAGGACCACCTTAAACAAGAGGCCGGGCCCCGCCCCGTAAGGGATTGCTTGCAAGAAGGCGGCCTTGGGGACAGCAGGTACATCCTGGGAGAGAGAGTCTTGGGTAAGGGGGGGGGGGGGCGCGGATACTCAAACCTATCCGAGCACCTAGGGTAGGTCAGGCTGATGCCCTGGCTCCGCCCGGAATGGAGGAGCATCCGTGGGCGGGGCTATCTGTCCCACCCTCTGGGCCCAGCTCTCAGTTCTCTTAGCCAGAGGCTAGGCCTCCCTCCTCGGCCGAAGCGTTCCCTTTAAGTCTGGACGGGTGGCACCCACAGGATCTCGCGGGAACGGCCGCTCATATTCTCGCGAGAGGAGCTTTCCGTACCTATTGGCTGTGGGGGTTGAATGTAAGATGGCGCTCAGGGAGCTGTGAGGGGAAAATCCTGTCGGTCTTGGATCCGTGACGGCAGAACAGAGGCCCCCAGCGGTGCGGCGGGGCC